AGACGCTTGGGGGTCTGATCCTACCCCCAAACGTGATACGCCCTGTAAATACTCTTTCAAGAATAGTTTTATATTTAAACACGAATTTGACATCTGTTCCAACGATAAAACTGGTTTTCAAAACAATTATTACATATATGAAAAATACGTATACCATAAAGTCTCAATAAAGTAAAGAGTACAGACTTTAAAATGTAAACACAATTCCTAAAACTAATAAAACCTTATAAATCATTATTAAATAAACCTAACCGTGACTTTTCCGATGAAAATCAATAAAATATCGAATTATCTTCTGGATGCAATGAGAATAGATATTCATACATCACATTTTTTTCGAAAATCAACATTTAATTAAAATCGAAAGTAAATTTTGCATTCTTGGCCTAAAAGGAGAAGAGTTCTCGGCTTTGCGATGAGCGCTTGTCAAACCAGTACACAAACGGTGTACTTGCTTTCGAATACTCGAGCATTTTATCGTCATTTCCCTCGTGTTAACTGTCTGCAAGCGCTTGTTTAAAGGACATTCCATTTGACTAAGATGCACAGTGAGTTGTTTCCCTATTTTTAATTCTATACAATGTACAATATAAATATTTGAATTTTGCGGCCCAAAAGGGAATAATTGTGTTAGGTCCCGGTTCAAAAAGCGAAACAAGAGCGCAAACATATGCAAGGTTCAGGTCGCAAATTGATTGGACTGTTTGCATTTTGGAGTCTGCAATCTTTACTTTATTGAGACTTGATGGTATACGGTATTTGTTTCATATTTGCGAAAGTTGTTTTGAAAACCAGTTTTATCGTTCTAATAAATGTCCCATTCGTGTTTAAACATAAAAAATATTTTTGATAGAGTGTCTAAAGGGGCGAATCACGTTGGAGAAGGATCAGACCCCCAAGCGTCTGTGTCATATCATGGTTTTCTTTGATTCTTTTCCTGAAATGTCTTTTAAAAATGACATTTTTAATTCTATCAATACTTTTCATTTGGACATGAGTCAAAATAAGGGAACTACTTTACAACTTTGATAAAATGGAGCTTATTGTTTTACTGACGAAAAAAAATATGTTGTTTTCGTTGTCGTCGTTGTTGTTGTTGCTGCTGCTGTTGTTTTTTCATAATTGACACATACTTTTGACTTGAAAAATTAATATTTCTAAAACAAGATGGTAAACTTGTGTAACTATTTGCTTTAATGTCACGAACATGATAAAATTTGGTGATGTAAAGTTTGAGATGACTTTTGGAACATCGTCAATTAAAGGATATTATTCCTTTATTAAATATTATTCAGTGATGTTCTGTCAAAATGTAATAGTGTACTCTTATGACGTGGGAAGTAAACAGATGGTTAAGAATACGCAATTTTATTAGGATTTATGGGGAAATATCACTTCGTTTATAATGCAATAGTAGATCATTAATCAAAAAATTTCTGTGACATATTTTTTTTTCCAAAATGCGTAACGTTTCTTTTACATTTTTAAGGATGAAGGGAGGTTTGTGTTTTTTCTTCTTTTATTTTTCAAGAGAAAGGTTGACGATAGATTATATTTATCATTACTATATTTATCATAACCAGTCAGGCATCATTAAAATATATTTATCATATAAAATTATTTAAAATACAAAACATTGTCGTCTTAAATGTCATGTTATGATAATCCCCCTATTCTCCTTGTCTAGTGTTGCGCCGTTCCTATGATACATTTTGATTCCAAACATGATAAAGGAAGTCTATGCAATTATGCGGTCGTGATTGAATGTGATATTTATTCTTTCTGTATTCTCCTGTAACTTATAAAAAACTCGGTATGCTAAAACAAATGTATATTTTCACACAATTGTTTAGAAAACATTAATTACTTTTCTTCCCTTTGCTTCTGCTATTTAAACAGATAAAAACAATTATCGAAATGTAGTAGTATGTTATTAATGACTATTTCACATTGGTAGCAAAAGAATATTTAGTCGGAAAATCTTAATTCGTTAATGAATATTCATAATAGATCGGCCTATCATACCTTACAATATCCGTACAATACGTGATAGAACATGGACTTGGTCACACACACATTGAAAAATGTTATCTTAAAACGCATTACTGTGTTAACAGCTTTATTTAAAAAAATATATATATTTAAAAAATACGCATTGCTTACAAAACTGAATGTAATTAAATGTTGTACGTTCTTATATCTAAATAACATTTTGGTCAAAATACAGTCTCAGCAAATACCTATATGACTGAAATAATGAACATTTATTAATTTTTTTTCAATCATTATTGTGCCATATGTTGTACTTTATTAGCTGTATCAACACATTGAAAGTTTGACAAATATGCTTGACAAATATCTTAGAGAACCACTGATGAAAATGAATGTAATAATCTTGATTAATTCGTTTAACATTTCCTAGTGAAATATGGATACCTAACACTTACGAGAAATTGACTTTGAAAGATGCATTAAGACTCTAAAGTTACAAAACAAATGTTTGATATGATGATCATATGTTTTACTGCTGTTGACAAAACGACTTTTCTTTCTTATTTCATAGATGACTACATATTTTAACACTTTAGAAAAACGCTGTAAATATGTATGAATTTTACAAATATGCATATAATGTAATGTTTTAAGATAAGATAGAGAAATCATTAAAATCTCTCTTCAAGAAGAAAGAAAAAAAGAGATTTTTTTGTGTCCTGTTTATTTCACTAGTGATGCAACATTTTACCATTAGTAACCATCTTTGCACTCATCTTCCTTGCAAACATTTTGGAAAACATAATATGCCATTAAAACATTCAAATATATACAACAGATGCATTATATATATGACCATTCAAACAGACTTTGTTTTATCATAATATACAGTCCGTCATTCGTATTCCAAATAATAGCAGGATTAAGTACTTTTATGTCTGAAAATGTGATGTAGAGGTTAAAGAAGTAAATCAGTATGGACGTCTTGACATATCTTCAATAACTTGTTCGAAACATGCTAAAGTTACCAGACAATCTTGTTGATTTGTATTCCATACCAATTATACAAATAGAATTTTGTTCAGTCTTCGATTTAATATAATGTATCGATATAGAACATGATCAGTCGTAGAATGAAAATAAGCATCATGGATATAAAGCCTTAAGTCTGACACCATTCTATCAAACATCTAGACCCGAACTTTGGCTCGCATTTTTAAAGGTTTTTTTTTCGAGATTAGTGCTCTATTTGATGTAGGTCTAGACTTACAACTTGTGTGCACATTTTTAAGTCATTTATCTACTCCGTTTTTTTCCAGGATAATTTCTCTACTTCTGAAATATCACAAAAAATGTAAAACCGTTGTAACGGTTTCACTCAATTTGATCTAAGAATAATAATAATAAATGATGTTCAATATATTTCTGATTCTATTTCTTAATTATCCTTTGCATATATTTCTATTTTTAAGTGCCTTAACATTTTATGTTTTTAGACTTAAAAACTCAGTGTAGTGGGGTTCTCTAAATTCGTTAAACATATTCAATTCCTGCTTAAGGTCAAACTACAATACAAATGTGCGATACGGAAAAGAGAAGAAACATTTGTTTAATTTAAGCAATTTTACTTGTTGCTGGTGTGACACATATCATTGAATTTAGGTTGACGTAAATTTTGCATCCTTGTATCATCAATTACACGAATTATGTCATGATATTAACATTAGTACCAATATATCTGAACAAATTGACAAACACACACAAAAAACTATTTTCCTAATGTTCGAGTTAGAATACGTTACAGTTTTAAACTTTGGGTCGTTATATCCTTAAATTATTGCTTAGTCGGAAGAACTGATAACACAATCATTGACGTTTAAACAAGGATTAAACCGATTTAATTTCATGTCTAATTTTGTAGTAATTATTTCGATTTTTTATTATTTAAATGCCTCAATGTCTCAATTCATTCTGACTTTACATATTATTCTAACACTATCGGAAATTTTCCTATATAGACAAAGAAGGCCGGAAGCGTGCATTATTCTACAACAATGCACTCGCCGTTCTTATTATCTCCCTGTATATTTTCACATTGAGGGCGCCATTTTGTTTAAAAATCTGATAAATAAAAACAATTTTTTGTCGAATTTTGTTGTAAAAACTATCTAGAATGATAGAAAATGGTCTAACTAAGAAAATGAATCCGAACACCAATATCTTTAATTCAGTCGTTAACGCTGTACAGACGTTTAAAGTGTTGTTTACGTGACGTCACAATGTAGCGCCAAACAGCACGTGCAAAACAATCAAATCAAGTACGTTATTTTAATATCGCAGACGAGTTAGGTTTAACATTTATTTCACTTTTAATAATTTGTATTTCGCTTGAAAAATTATAGAGTGAAATAAAATGAACAAACAAAGTTTTATCAACGTTTTCAAAATTCGTTATTCTCAAAATGTTTCTACACACAGTAGATTTAACGACAGTTTTTTTCAACCCACTGGAACAGCCTTTAAAGAACGTTTCTATTGGAAACTCTGAGGCGAAAACAAATTTAACCACCAAACATAAAGTCCAACTTTATAATAATAATTATACTTTTTCTTGACGTGTTAGAATGGAAATAGATATTAATTCTTCGTGCATTATTGTATAATAATGCACGTTTTTCGTTCAAATGCGTTGTAATTAATCACTCAGGCCTATCGACCTTCGTGATTATATTACTACGCATTTGAACTCAAACCGTGCATTATTCTACAACAATGCACTCAGAATTGATATCTATTTCCTAAATAAATGTAGTTAAGCGTTCTGAAAAGTCGGAATGCTCTGTAATTGTATTGGAAAACCAATTTGAAAGATAAAAATCGTGTGACAATTATCTTATCAAAAACACATATTCATTTTGTTATCAGGATAATGTAAAAGTGTGACCAAAAATCTGCTATAAAAAAAGACATATATTTCTTAATTAACATTATTTTTGTTTCTGTTTAAGGTCTTCCAACTGAACTTTATGGAATACGGGAGTCGTATCCATGGCGATTCGGAGAACCACTTTGTATTTTCAAATCTTTTGTGGCGGAAATGACATCATACGCATCGATTCTCACAATCACAGCTTTCACCGTTGAACGATACGTGGCAATATGTCACCCATTAAAAGCGCAGACCTTATCAAATTTGTCACGTGCTGTTAAAATGGTGATTTCAATTTGGATTTTATCGTGCCTATTTGCTTTGCCTTATCCGATTCATACGCGGGTTTTCCCGTATGTGTCATACAATGGGACTGGTATAGAAGACTCTTTACAATGTAACATCCCCTTTGAATGGCAGAGGGGGATGACGTATGCTTTCCAGATATCTACATTTGTTTTCTTTGTATTTCCAATGGGGCTCATAACTGTAATGTACGGTTTGATTGGTAATAAATTGCGCTCTTCGCAACTGGAAACAAAGCACAAGTCAACGACGATGGCGAGGAAAGCAGTCGTTAGAATGTTATGTAAGGAATTTCAAATAATGCAAACGTTAATATAATAAAACTTTGTGATTAAATCTACAGAGTATGCATTTTCGGTGACGATCTTAATATTTCCTTAAATGGAAACAAAAAGATATAATATAATTATTATAAAGGATATAAGGCTATACTCTACTGTACATTATTTAGAGAAAACTTTGAAACCTATCAAGGTTTTATTTGATAAGACTTGATTTCATTAGTGCAAAACTTAAAACAAACATTATTTAACTGTTATATCTCCCGCCGTTTAATTTACAGCTTCTTAGTTTTATGTACTTCAGGAGTCGAATGTACAATCATTTGGTTAAAAATTCAAATACCTACATGTTACTAAAGGCATTACACTATTAGGATTCAAGGGAAATTAAAACATGCACATTTAGCCACAAAGCATGTCAATTTTTTTTACATTAAACTGTTAATTCTTCTACATTTTAAAATAAAGTGGAATTAATTTTTTACGGATCCAGTATTCTTTGATTATTAAATAATATTGCTAAGGCGTGTTATTATGAACGAATATGATGAGTCCCTGTAATAATAATGAAAACTACCAGGACTTTCCTAAATGGACTTTGAAAAACATTATTTTTCTTAAAAACAAACAATTTGGATAGAAACAATAATAAACATTTGTTCAACCATTTTAATTTTATCAGACAGCTAGGATTATACAATATACAAATATGTTATCATGTTTTAATATGTCTCTTATACTAACATTCTCTTCCATAACTTTCGCTTGTCAAATGATATCATTTACATAAACCTATATTGCAGTTGCCGTTGTCGTTGCCTTTTTCGTGCAGTGGGCACCTTTCCATGCACAGCGTCTCATCACCTTATATTTTCCGGTTGACATGTGGACTCCAACTTTAATCAAATTCCAATCAGATTTGTTCTCCGTATCTGGTATAGTATTTATTTTTAATCTTTACAGTTAAAAAAGGCATCTATCAATTAGGTTTTAAAAAGTTATTTTCATACGTTCAGTAAGAGAAAGTTTTATTCTTTAAAAACATGATGATTTTACTACACTGGCAAAGTTATCAAATATTTATTTAGTTTCCACGCAAATTTAATTTTAAGACTGTCATAAATGGTAATTTAACATGAATTATATATTTATCACAATGATAATAGTAAAATTTATAAAAGCTTATTAAAGACAAACAAAAATGATCTGTGACGTTGTACAAATTACCTAAAAACCTAAAACGGATACTATCATTCTCGTTGTATTTTCAGGGGTTCTTTACTTCTGAAATTCAATTATCAATCTGATATTGTATAATTTAATGTCAAAGAAATTCCGGTTGGCTTTCAAAAGAACACTGTGTTGTTGTTGTTGTTGTTATACTTCAGAAAAACTGCTGGAGCTTAATGGAAAGTCAAAGTCAATTTACTGTTCCGATAAAACGGCTGTCAATTCTATTAGAAAAAAATGCGAACAACATTACAAAGTTGTCATTTATGGATTTGAACGGAACTGAGAACGTCAATGGATTGCTAAATACGGATAAATTACGTGATATCACTTTCATGAATGGGAGACGACCACACACATGTCCTTGTTATCAGTCCCATTCTTCTGGACGTTTGAACGAGCTCTACAGTGACACAGATCGTATTCACGTCGACCATTGTCAAGGGTTCGGACCTAGAGCGGCGGGACTTATATACCAGAATTCCACAAACAGTAGTCTTGTTAGTTTTTGTGAACTTGAATCAGATTCCATTGTTGAAATGAAGTCTTTATCGACTTGTAGTAGCTGAAATTTATTGAACACAAAAATCCTTTCTGCCTCGCTTAACAATCTTGCAAGTCGACAGGCATCATTTGTATGATCAACTTTAATGCTATTAAAACTAAACCAGCAAGGAATGCGTTAGTTTATTTGGATTGGAAGGAATGGCTTGATTACCAAGGACAAAGTAATATTGACATTTGTAAGATTAACACCCTTGATGTATGAATGTAATTCTTTCATTGTAAATGTTAATATGAACGTCAGGCAAACCAACAGATTTTTTGTTAGACAAATAGGGAATATTACTAACAAAAAAATAGTAGAACTAGACGTGTGCGGCAACAAAATACATACTTATGTTTTAGATAAAATATACTACTGTATTTGATAAAATTCAGTTATATGTATTCCCGCTTGTACTTTCAATATAGTAATACAAGATCTTATTATAATAACATAAACAAAATAGAAACACTATTTATTGAAACCTTGGTTACTATTCAACTCCTAAATCTAAAACTCAAAGAACAATAAAGAGTAGAAATAAAATGCTTTTGAGTTATTTTATTTTTTTTAACAAAAGACAAGTAGTTTTTATCAGATTTATAGCAAAATTAATATTCATAATAAATATTTTAAGATATTAATGTTATTTTTATTGTTAAACAGTATTTAGAAACTAGAACAAATACATGCGAAATGATACATGTACATGATAATGCTAATACTTAAAAAAAGGTATAAATTGCAACCAAATTCAGATTTGTCAAATCAACTTTGTAATGTTATGTTTAAAATGATTTGTGAATCGAGGGTATTAATGGAACGTCTAAAGGACACACTTGTATTCGTATTTCAATGAACATAAAGGCAAGAATGTTTGAATTTTCTCTTTCTCGTGTACATTGTTTTTTTTTTGTTAATTAGTTTTTAATCAATGATCGTAAACATTCATAAATAATTTATTTTTAAATCAATCGTAATCATACCAACAAGATAACAATGATTCGTGTGATGTACAAAGTTCAATAAAAGGTGAAAACAATTTATAAATAACGTTATTTAGGGTTAAATATTAATGTCACTTGGATCTAACATAAAACTCTCCCTATTTTATCAACGGTATTTGATTGTAATCAGCCATTGACAAGTAGGTATTGACAAACTTTTTATTTTGAACACGCTGAAAAATTATTATACGTGTAGTTAAAAATGTAAATTGTGATGTCAAATAGCATGAATTCTTTTTAAAAGCATTAAAGGGTGTAAAAATATTCCATTCTCAATCATTGTAAGAACTGACAGAGGTGATATTCCATCATTTTCTCTCAAAGGAAGTAGCATTGCTAAATTGCATGTCAAATGAAAAATAAACAACAAAAAGTTCCACTTCGGACCCCTCTTCTTAAACTTTAAATTATATTTGATCTCGGAATTAAATAGTGTAAAATATTACATTCTCAATTATTGTAAGAACTGGCAAAGGTGATTTGGTTTGCCCTACTAAATTTCTCTCAAAGAAAGTAGCCTTGTTTAATTGCATGTAAAATGTGCTTCTTTTAAATGAAAAAGATACAACAAATAGTCCCTTTTTGAAACCCTTTTCTTACAGTTAAAATTATATTTGATCTCGGATGCGCAACAGCTCGAAAGAGAGTGTATCGGTGTTTTTAAGGGGTCACTGGTGTGATCCTTAAACGAGGCGTAATTTCTCCGTGACATTTAATCTCGGACATTCAATCTGATGGTCATTCCCTCTCAACGCTGAATCAGAAATGAGGTTGGATGAGTAGTCGGCCACTTACGGAAAAATAATTATAATAAGAAATATTTATTGGGTAATTGTTGGTGAGTTATCCAATAAGGTGGATCGATTGCCGATATTTGATCAAACAAAAGTCTAAAAATTTGCACAAAAACCAGAAGCAAACAATAATCAATGTAAAACAGCCAGACAACGTGATATTAAGAGAAAATGGACAGAAAAAGAAAAGAAAAGAAAAATACAACGTATAAAGATATTAATAGAAAAAATCAGACTCTACCGGAACACCTATCCCTAGTCTTTCAATCTGTCAACACTAATTTATAGGAGCTTTGGTATTTGTAAATAAAATTAACAATGAGGAAAAAGTCAACACGTGACATATCTCTGTAGTCTACAGGTTCAGCGTGAAAAAGCATGTAATAACCTTAATATTGGGAATGACAAAAAAAAACATTACTTGGGGCTTTAGAGGAAAATGTTACTTAAGTCGTTACAATAAACATGTATGGAAACTCAAAAGATATCATCAGGTTGGAACAAATAATAGTTGACGAGTTTAAACAATGAAATAAGGTATGAATTAAGATCGCTCAATATATCAATTTGAAAATAAATAAGGCGTCAACTTAAGACTAGAAAAAACTATTAGTGAGAAGAATTATTACTTTCCCACTTTAATATTGGAAAGTTAAATGGACTTCTTTAACCACAAATTTGAATAAGTAAATTATTTTCTTTTTCAATAAGTAAATTATTTTCTTTTTTAAAAAACTAAATCCAAATCATTCCAAGGATATTCCACTATTTCGGCAGCTATTATTATATATAAATGCATGTTTTAATTAAAAAGCCATGATTATGGTAGCAAAATGTAGACAAAGCGGGATATTTATTTCATACTTATTCTTTCTAAAAATAAGAATAAACCATCTTGAGACGATGTTATACTTAAAAAAGTGAATGATATGAAGCTGGCAGCTGTTGCACTTGTGAAACAGAACACGTGTTTGGCTTAGTTGTTTAGCCTTATAACTTGCTGTCAAGACATAATATAAGTATAACTTAAGGCTTGAATTCAATATACTTTGAAAATTATTTCTACCAAATTCTCAAATTAAATACGCAATTCAGTTTTTACTTTTTTACGAACATCTGTGTTGGTGTGCTGCAAATCACAAGAGAAAAAACTCAGTAATTGTCAGTGCTATATTGGATTTTGTTTCATGGAATAATGATTTATTTCTCTCTTAAAAGCCGTAAAATACCCATGTAAGCTTCACGGGGATAGTGCTGGCAGCTTCCTGTTTTTCATCCAATTATCTCCATATAAATCATATAGAATTTTATCTAAATTATTCACTGAACCTTACATGATGATAGAGAAAAGGAGCATTTATATCATCAAAGTGTCTAAGAAATCGACATTAAATTATAGTAATTACGGAGCTACATTAATGTTACATTAACTAACAGTGTTATGAATTTTACTGTACAGCGTGAAATGAAACTATATATAGAAATCAGACATCTTTTTTTTAAATATATATATTGTTAGATTGTCTGTAATCTGTTATAAACTTAAAACAAATCAAGCTATTTACGGTACATTTCCATACCGGGTTTTTCCTTTGCGAAGTCTACTGAAAAAGGTACTTTTTTGTTGATACATAACCAATGCTCAAAAACAAGTCACACAATATCGAGAACTGTATAATCGCGCACCAATTTAGTATGTTTTGTTGACCAAAAAACCCAGTGGCATAATTATGTATAGACATAACATAGTACATGTCTTCAGCCAAATAATACTATTTAATCAGAAATGCATAGTGTATAATTATTTATTTTCATAAAAACACCTTAATTTTGGTGTTGCTGCAATGCTGCACGACAAAAACGGACGTCTTACATGGATGAGGATCAAAGAATTATTATTGACACCGGCACTGTAACTTTTTATTTGTATAGAGGGACTTTATGTGTTCGTCCCTGCATTAATTCAGGCACAAGCGGGTAACTGAGTAACATCACCGTTCGCGAGGTAATATATGCAAAGACGAAAATAGAATAAGACAAAGTTACATGTGACACTTTACCAAAATAAGTCTTGACACATCAAGGCGTGCCGAAAATCGAAACAAGGCAAAAGAAAAGTCAAAATATTCTGATTATTTTGCATCAAATCCTGATTTATACATTTGTTTAATAATAGTTATAAATCAGTTTGTTTTACCTTATATCTACATTACATAAACCATGGATTATAAAAGTCAGGAACAAGACGTGAGGATGCTTATTTATTTAATTAACTGAAATGTAACATGATTATATACACATACATTATTATAAATATTCAATTGCATGCATCTAAATTTTCTACATGGATCATTACTTTGAAGGGAAGTAAAAATTATTTTGCAAATCCCGTGAACTCTATAAACTTCACGTATTGCTAATTTCAATTTCACGAATTCACGTTTTATAAAGTTACAGCTTCATGAATTCAAGATCTCAACGTCACCATTTATACTGTAAACATCATAAAGGACATTTAGAATATTTAAAGAAAGCAAAATCACCGGGACAAACCAATTACAGCACGGACTGCTCTAAGTCCAAACACACCGACAAATTCCTGTAACACATAAATGTTTGTATAATTTTGCAAATTTAAGAAAACTTTGGTTGAATTATTTAACTCTTTAACAAAAAGGTGTAAATAAGCTTTCATTTATTCATTTGTGTAAAATTTTGTATTAAAATATACAATTATCTTTCTTTTGCATGCTCATTCGTTATAAAATTAACAACTCATGTGGCTAAAGGAAAGTTCTGTAAATATCCATCTAAAATTATCTGTAACGTTCAATTTATTAAAAAGTGGCGTTCTTTTATATTTTAGTTAGATTTATATTTTATCGCAAAATGTTTCTTATATCAACATTTTAACAGTCAAATTTTTAAAATATATAGTCAATTTAGTCCAACAATGAAAAAAGAACAAACTGTCTCTTTAATTGTTTTAACTTGAATATTCAAGCTAAAACCAACTTATTTATTTTTTTAGAAAAAAAGAACATTGAAACATCAACGGTTTACTTTATCAACCCTATATAACCTTAGTCTATCGACACGCATTTATATTGCAGTTTTTACATTTCCAGAATTTAAGTTTACTTCTATGACCAATGTCAGCTGATTTGAGGCTTGACTAATTTATCATAACTGTACAAATAACAATAAAAGTCTATCGCATT